CATGGGGAATTTTATCCCGAATCCTGAGTAGGGATAAGTCAACGCCTAACACGCGTTGCCGGTTTAGTTTTTCACCGTTTGAAAAAGACATCAGAATACCAGTCTGAGGTATTTTATCCCGAAGCCTAAGTAGGGATAAGTCAGCGCTTAACCCGTGCTGCTGGGTGGTTCGTTCCCGTGAAAAAGACCGAGTCTACGTATTCAACATCGTAGCAACAAAAATCCATGTCTTTTATGCATGAGAATTTTATCCCGAATCCTGAGTAGGGATAAGTCAACGCCTAACACGCGTTGCCGATTTAGTCTTTCACCGTTTGAAGAAGACACCAGAATCCGAATCTGGGGACTTTTATCCCGAAGCCTAAGTAGGGATAAGTCAGCGCCTAACATGCGTTGCCGGGTAGTCTATTCCCGTGAGAAAGGCGAAGTCTACGTATTTAATATCGTAACACTAAAAGAGTTAACTCTTTTAGCATAACGTTACATGCGGAACGAACTTAAACAATCCGCATGCAAGCCTAAAAGAGTTAACTCTTTTAGCATAACGTTACATGCGGAACGAACTTAAACAATCCGCATGCAAGCCCAATTCAAACGGTAATTGATAATCACATTTTATTACAATTTTATACCCTCATCATCTATTTTACATGAATAAATATACTATTAATAAGTGTTATTAGATTAGTTTGCACATAATTGAATGAAAATATAAATAAATATTATTAAATGTAAAAACCCCTCAAAATCTCTCTTCTCTATTTTGTAGCATTTTAGAAGCCCATGAAGCAAAAGCTTAAAAGAGGAAAATAAAAGAAGCCACAAAATCAGGCTCCTTGAAGGCCCAAAGCCCATCAACAAATGACTACACCCAAGGACCGGACTTGGCTGCAAATAATTAGAATGAACCGGACTTGGATGCAAAGAGTTAATTTTGAGTTTCAAATGATTGGGTCGGTGGACTGCTGCAGATCACATGGGAATGTGGGAGCTTTGAGTTTCAAATGAATGGGCCGAAAATCAAATGCATTGGACCGACTTTGAATGGGCCGGGATTTAATTTTGAAATACATTGGACTTGGAGAAATGGCTACAGCTTTGATTTTTTTTTTTTTTTGGACTTGGATGCTAAAGATTTGGATTGGGAATGGCTACAGCTTTGATTTTTTTTTTTTTTTGGACTTGGATGCTAAAGATTTGGATTGGGCCGGTTGCTGCATGAATGAGACCGAACAAAAGCTCCAATGGGCACAGCTCTTCATTTTCTATTTTTAAAATCAAATGGGAAAGTCCAAATGACCGGACTTGTTTTCTTAGCTGCTGGAGTTGGATTTCCATCATGGACCGAACTCTTCATGGGCCAAAAACTCTTCATTGCGGCAAACTTATTGGACCAGATTTGTTTTTGAAAATCAATTGGACCTCCTATGTTTGGGCTAGAGAAGAACAAAAAGCAAATTCAAAGGTGAAGATTGCTTTGCTTGGGGCTCAAGACAAATCCAATGGCTCATATTCATTGAAGATTACTATAAATAGGAATAGAGAGTGAGGGGTTAAAGGTGTGAAAAATTTTATAACTCCTTTTGGAGAGGAGAGCTACTCTTAATTGAGAAGGTCTTCCAAAATTATAACTTTTTGTTGCAATTAATAATAATAATTTTTTACCACTTTAAATTTTTCTCTTCTTCTCTTTGTTGGATGATGAAGATGAAGATGAAGATGGAGAATTATTTGAAGGTTTGCATTTTTTTTCTTTTTCTCTTTTATTGCTTATTAGTTTAGATTTATTTCTATGCTTGTAGTTAGATTTTATTTTCTTATTAAATAGCCAAGAGGCTAGAACCCTCTTGCCTTAGATTTATTTCATGCTTATAGAGTAGATTTATTTTCTTGCATTTAATTCTTGTAATTTTATTTTATAGTTTAGATTTTGTAATTTATTTTGTAGTTAGATTTTAATTTCATATACTATTCACCTTGAGGCTAGAACCCTCTTGGGTTTAGTTTTTCTTTTTGTTTATTTTTATTTTGTTTGATTCGTCTTTAGGCTAGAACCCTCTAGGGAATCACCCTTTTCTAAGAAGTGGGTTCAATTTTAGATTACCCATATCTATAATTGAATCCACCATCTTTAATTTCTTACATTTTCTTTTATTCTTGAATTTTATTTTTCATTCTTGATTTTTTATTTGTTTCTCGATTTTTTTCATTCTTCCTTCTTGCCTTGTTGATCACATTTATTTTTTACTCACATCCACTCTCAAAAACAAATCATTCATCACATTCACACTTATTCTTTATTCCTAATTGTCACGCACAAAACATAAGAACCATTTCTAATAATCTCTTAAAATCACCTTCCTCGTGGGATCGATATTTTTATACTATAACTTGATTAATTGTGCACTTGCAATTTTGGTACATAATTATGCCGCATCAGTAATCGGTAAAGGCACCTCAAATCCGTAGAAGGCTGAGGATTTGCCAAAAATCCTAAGTCAGTGTCTAACACGCGTTGCCGGGTAGTCTATTCCCGTTAGGATTTGCCAAAAATCCTAAGTCAGTGTCTAACACGCGTTGCCGGGTAGTCTATTCCCGTGAGAAAGACGAAGTCTACGTATTCAATATCGTAGCACTAAAAGAGTTAACTCTTTTAGCACAACGTTATGTGCAGAACGGGTCTAAACAATCTGCATGCTAGCCCGACTCAAACGGTAGTCGGTAAAGGCTAATCAAACCCGTTGATGACTGAGAATTTGCCAAAAATTCTATAAATGTGAGTCATTGACGTATCAGCTTTATTAGTTGGTCTCGTGATTTGAGTATACAACGACTTCGAGATAAGATCCATATCTGCAGACGAAACAACTTTAATAGTTGGTCCTGCAGCCTAAAATTTAGGATCGCCATATTCCAATGCCTTAAGAGCTTAAACTGTGTAGACTCCAGTAAACGTACGAGTATAAACTGTGTTAACGCAGGCCAACGCCGAGCAATGCGTAGCTCTAGGTCAACGCCGGTCAACGCGTTGCGACAAAGATAATCAGTTCAAAGTCAACACAATGACACAAGCCAAAACTAACTCACTAATTCTGATTCAAGACTTCGACAACGGTCAGACGATAAACGCAACGCCGGAAGACCTTCATCTATTTGACAAAGCACTGGATAGACTGAAGGCTGAGGAAGTCAAGAATTGAAACAGTTCACAGGTCCTTTGACACCGACTAAATGCGGGGGACTATCATATCCAAAGCATTACAGACTCCTCCATAAAAGAATGAGTCTGAAATACTTTGGAGGGGGTATCTGTAGGCGTCTAAAAATGCCTATAGGTATCCACGCACAGCTAAAGACGGAGAAAAGATGATGAACGTCGTTATCCGAGTCTAAGAGGATTATCTGTCGTCGACAAACGCATGAAGCGAAACGACGAACCAAGTGGCCCGTGTGCGTCAAATCAACACGCGCATCAGCTCGCGCGCATCAAACAACACGCGCGCGTCAATCAGTTCGTGCGCGTCAATCAGTTCGTGCGCGTTCAACGGTCAATCCCGCAACGAAGCGTGCAAGTTAACAAGATGATCAATCACGCGAAACGGGGGAAACTATAAGTCCCGGAAAATCGAAAAAGTCAAGAAACATACAAGTTCGGCCCAAAGCCAGATCACCAGAAGGTGACTCGGCGGCCGAACCACCAAATGGTGGCTCGGCCAAGGCCGGCCACCATTTGGTGGTCAGGCCAGGCCGAGCCACTAGTGACAGTTCGGGCCAAAATTAGTTTTTTTTTTGTTTTATGGATTCTTTTCGGGATTTGATTTGTTCCTGAACGTTCCAACCGATCCGATACTGTGCTATGCGGTTTCTAACTGAAGATAGAGAGGATCCTCGCTTTTGATCTAAGAAAACCACCAACTCAAGCCTATAAATAGAGGCTCAGATGTTCATTCTTGGGGGAGGAGATCAATAGGACGAAGTGCTAGCCGAATTGGAGAGTGGAGCCACGAATTTACAACAAGGGTTAGGCAGATCTTGGCGATCTCCTGTGCTAAAGAGTGGAGTTCGAGAGATCTGAGACTCCGTTCCCTATTCCTCCGGATTTAAGCTTGGTCTAAATCCCGAGAAGAGCCGTGACTTTGCTTAGTCAAAATCACCGCTACTGCAATTACTTCATTCGTGAAGTGAGAGCATTGATTATCAACTTCTGGTAACCGTATCTGATCCGCGACGGTCCACGATATTATCGTCCCGGCACAGGCAAATTCGCACGCCCAAGCAGCGGGTGATAAACGTCTGTTGCGCTGTTTGACAAGAGTGTAATATTTATTTTTATTGTATAAAGGAGATCTTATAAAAAGATCGACTTTCTTTCTTTTTGAACTTATTGTAAATGGCTGAAATTGTAAATGAGTTCGTCACAAATGAAAAATCAACTTTTGACACAAACAGACCACATTCAACTCATGTGAATGTGATCCTCTCATTTGATGAGTGGAGGATAATATGCCACCTCACTACCAAGCATAAATTTTGTGTTTAATAACAAGCATACATATATTCATCAATATATATATAATATATATATATAATATATAATATATATAATATATATATATATATATATATATATATATATATATATGAACGAAACTAACCGAACCGGACTGTACCGAACTGACTTATAACAGTTAGATTTGATTTTGACTAATGGACGGTTCGTTTCGGTTGTTCAAAACTTGATAAAAACCGATCCGACCAACCGATCAAAACTTGATAAAAACCGATCCGACCAACCGACCGTTTGCACAGCCCTAATACCATTCCTAGAGGAATGCTAGGAATGACGTAATTCATCATCGCTCCTAGAGACACCAGGGTCATCACTCGACAAAGCCGTGGGATCATCAGTTGCATATTCACCATCACCGGCGGTGGCACAGGGCTCATTAACGACCTTTAAGGACAAGTAATTAACTTCATTACTTCATTTCTTTATTTTGCCGACACTAGCCGACACTAGCCGTCCACACTGTGGCGAACCACTTCAAAATGGTCGGCAACTTCGTCCTTCATGGTCGAATATGTTGATTCCTTGTATGAAATTGGGTTTTGGGCCATTTTCCACCAAAGAAGCCCTAACCTTAGGTGGGATTTTGAGAGGGAAAAAGAAAGGGGTTTTGGGTTTCTTCGCTGGGTTCCTGCTAAGAATAGAAGAGAGCGTGAGAGGTTAATTCATTTCGAGCTATGGGGGCGCGGTTACCGATTTTCGGGAGTTCAAGAACGTGTAAAGTAGAGATAGTTTGGGGATTAAGAGAGAATTTTATTTTATTTTCTCTTCTCTCGCTGGCAGTGTAATTCGACCTTAAACACCAATATGCATTTATGACCGAAAGGCATGGCCCAAAATGCAAAGGTCTACTCACACGAGCTTTTTCGTAGCGGCGCTGGGCACAATTTTTCCTTGAAAAAAAATGAACTAAATGACTTCCCTTTCTTTTTTTAGGGTAAGATGAGCTCGATCAGAGAAGACTCTTCTTTCTTTTTTAGGGGTAAGATGAGCTCAGAGTAAGCCACGTCCCAACTATTCAGCGTTCGCAGGGGGTGAAGCTGTGATCACTGTGAAGGAGAGAGGTGCTTCAAAACCCTACCTTTCTCAGCTTGCAATTTAATTTGTGTTTTTCTTTGTAACCATAATTTTTGCCCTTCTATTTCTTATATATATGCATCAAGATCTCCAGACCTCAAAAAGAATTCCAAAATTATTTTTCTGATGTTGGGTTTTTTGGATTTCAAGATCTCTGATGCATGTGAGAAATTGAAGTGCCACAACAATTTCCGCTAGCCATGTAATTGAAATGCAAAGAAATTTGTTATCAAACAATCATGTTCAAGGACGCTACTGAAAATTCATGTGTTACATGAAAATAATCACCCCGTCTGAAACTTTCTTCATTGTGTTTGATATATTAGTTATTAGATTGATTGCTTCCAAGCTTCTCAATTTTCTTTGAAAAGATTCATTCCTCTCTCAGGCATTAGGTTGCTAAAGTTTGTTTTATTGTTTTTTTTTTTTTTTTTTTTTTTTTGAATTGAAAAGATTCATTCCTCTCTCAGGCATTAGGTTGCTAAAGTTTGTTTTATTGTTTTTTTTTTTTTTTTTTTTTTTTTTTTTTTTTTTTTTTTTTTTTTTTTTGTGAATACACACACACACGCTCAAATTGCCTAATGCATGTATGTCTAAATTGTTACCCAATAATTGTCTTCTTCCATTTCAGAAAATTATAGTTTATTGTTTCCATTTGCAATCTTTGCTAATTACTTGTCAATGGCTACTGTCCTCCAGGGTGGAACACCGTTTTCCGACTAGCAATGTTTCATCTAACTAATCGAAGGAGGCTCATTTCGGTGGGGGGAATTGTAATTACTCTCACTATAGCATTTCAAGCCTTCATTATGCCCTCTAGAATTGCTATGTCACCTTTCCTTGTTCCTAAAACCCTTGAACTCGATGAAGAGATCATATCCCATAAAGTTACTTACCCACCACCCATAATGATCGGAAAACTATCCCTTTTGAACAACTCACTGAACGCTAGGGACTCATCAGTAGACTTCGATGAAGCTAATGCATCTGAAATTTCCAATAACGACAAAGATTTTAACCCTCATTCTAAAACTGAAGACCACACTCAAGATTTGGAGCAAGATGACGTCTTATATGATGACATTAATGTAAGAGATGATGAAGATGTGGATACTGAATTCTCAACTGACATCGAGAATGGTATTAGGAAGAAGGTTGAGGAGGTCATTGGGGGTTCTACAAAATTATCCAATTCTTTGATATCAGATGGTTTCAGCAAATCCAAGCTAAATGGTATAAATCAGTGTTCCTAAATTTGGATATATTTCTTTTCCTTCATTTATTAAACTTTAGGGACCCTTTGGTGTAAATTCTAATGAGCATGCTATTATGATTATTGCTCCTTTTCAGTTAAACTATCAAAAAATAAGAAAAGGGTGATTCCTGCAGTGTCCATATCAGAAATGAACCAAATTTTGCTCCGAAACCATGCTTCTCCTTGTTCAATGGTATGTTATCTGACATTGTGATTTTCCTCTTAGCTGTATGTTTATACTGAGTTGTACCTCAATCCTTTTCTCTGTAGAAACCTCAGTGGTTGTCAGCACGTGACAAAGAGCTATTAACAGCAAAGGGAAAGATGGAAAATGTTCCCTCTGTAAGGAGCGATCAGCAACTTTATGCCCCAGCTTTCCGAAATATTTCCAAGTTTGTAAGGTGTTGTATATTATAATGAAGGGACTTGCATTTACTTGCAATATTCAGTCTTTTTACTGACTTCAATCTTGAGTTCTGCATGATATTGCCTGCTTCTCTATGTGTCTCAAGTCAGTCACACCGTCTATGTTTCATAGAGGCGTCACAATTTCACTTTGGTGTATGCCTTTCTACTAATGTACAGAAATTTTATAATTATCCTAGGCAAAATGTACTTGACAAGTACCTAAAGATATAAGTTCTGAAGTTTATAATGCACACACGGTGGTCTCACAATTTCATTTGATTTATACAGACAAGTATCTTGTTTTCACCCTCATTAACGAGAGAGACATTGGTTAGATAGGTGTTGATGTATATATACTTAACTAGTTTGCAATGTTGAAGTTACTGCATTCTTCGACCATAGCATTGGTACAACCTGAACAGGTTTAAAGAAATGCGCACATAAACTTTCAATGTTATGATTATCCTTGGTAATTAGGTTGCTTACTTTAAACTGATGTGATGTTTGATTTTTTTTTCTTTTGCAGGAGCTATGAGTTGATGGAGAAAATATTGAAAGTCTATGTGTACAAGGAAGGACATCGGCCCATTTTCCATCAGCCACTTCTCAAGGGGATTTATGCCTCCGAAGGATGGTTCATGAAGCTCATGGAGACAAACAGGCAATACATTGTGAAGGACCCAATAAAAGCTCATCTCTTCTATATGCCCTTTAGCACTCGTCTTTTACAGCTCGAGTTGTATGTACGCAATTCTCACAATCGAAGAAATTTAGAACAATACTTGATTGACTATGTCAATAAAATTGCTTCTAAATACCCCTTCTGGAATAGGACAGGTGGATCAGACCATTTTCTTGCTGCTTGCCATGACTGGGTATGCTTCGGCCTTCTTCAAAACTTAGTTGCATTAGCTTATCTCATTTGCATGAGAGTTGAAAAGCTAATGTTTATATATGAGAACCAAATATTCAATGGGGTTATATCAGATATTAATCATGAATAGCATTACGTTCATACTGTTTCACACTCTACGCAAATGAATCAAAAGAATTTATCGGCTGTTCATTTAGCATCACACTCTATGCAAAATGAATCAAAAGAAAAAGAATGTATCAACTAGAGATATAATTAACAAATGTCAAGATTACCACGTGTATGGCAGCCTTCAGTCTCATTTACATAAAAGTTGTAAACTATTTATATATAGCATTAATTAGTATTTCTTATATAGGCACCATATGAAACAAGGCACGCCATGGAACATTCGATCCGAGCTCTTTGTGTATCCAACCTCCATCAAAGCTTTCAATTGGGAAAAGACGTTTCTCTTCCAACAACTTATGTTCGATCTGCCAAGAATCCCCTCAGGGATCTCGGTGGAATGCCTGCAACAAATCGCTCTATTCTCGCCTTCTATGCCGGTAACCTTCATGGTGAGCTTCGCTCGATCCTATTGCAGCATTGGGAGAACAAATACCCTGATATGAAAATCTACAGCCCTTTGCCTCGAGGACTCAAAAGAAAGATGATATATATTCAACACATGAAGAGCAGCAAGTACTGCATTTGCCCGGCCTCGAGGACTCAAAAGAAAGATGATATATATTCAACACATGAAGAGCAGCAAGTACTGCATTTGCCCGAGAGGTTATGAAGTTAATAGCCCAGATATATATTCAACACATGAAGAGCAGCAAGTACTGCATTTGCCCGAGAGGTTATGAAGTTAATAGCCCACGAGTCGTTGAGTCCATTTTCTATGAATGTGTCCCAGTGATTATTTCGGACAATTATGTTCCTCCCATCTTTGAGGTGTTAAATTGGGAGGCATTTTCTGTTATAATTCCAGAGAAAGATGTGGCCCGATTGAGAGAGATACTTGCATCGATCCCTGAGGAGAAGTATCTTTCTTTGCAGGAGGGAGTGACGATGGTGCAGAAGCACTTCCTATGGCATAGTAAGCCAGTCAAGTATGACTTATTTCATATGACCCTGCACTCAATCTGGTACAATAGAGTATATAACGTAAGGACTGGGTGAAGGTATGGATTAATGAAAAATTCAGCCTGGCTTCCTTTGGATGCTTTGTATTCTGCACTGCTTCGAATACAAGTGAAAGGTGTATCTTCAATCGACTGAGACTGTAATCTGCTTAATTTCGATGGAAGCCTGCAGTTTTAGAATGCGACGGAATGCCAACAATGAAGGAACGTGCACAAAGTAATTCTGTATTATTGTTGTATCCAGAATTTAAATTCTATGCATGCTAGGCACGCTTAACTATCAGATGGTTTCTATTGTACATTGTCATCCTGGAAGTTTCATAGTTGGAGACCCTTGTACATTTATTGTTTAATAAAGTGAAAGGTGAGCTAAGATGTGTACATGAATTGTGACATAAATAACATCAATTTGTCCCTTCAACAACTATTTTCTTTTGCTGATGAATCAAGCATTACATAGTACCCTTTGTTCTGATGGATAAATATAATTCTTTGTTGTTCTCTAGAAGTTCATTGATGGAGCCCCAAAAGTTTTCAAACTAAAGTTTATTCTATCATTGCTTACAGTTTCTAATTGGTCCAAAGTACTTACAAAATTATACAACAAATCTATCAAAGATCACAGAAACCTTCAGCCATAATTCTCCCTCTTGTTTATTCAGTGTAGACAGTAGAAAGACATGGAACCATATGATTTTTATTTTTCCCATGTTCTTGATCTCCTCTACATGGAAGTGCCTACAGTTGGTCGGACCGTCACCCAAAGCAAAGAAACCGTGATGGAAACAAGTCCAACCCAAACCCAAAGAATGGTCGGTGCCCTTCTTCTCCTCCCCATCAACCCTTTCAAAAACGGATACATATGTGTCAGCACCCAGAAGCTAAAGAAACTACTCCCAAGCATCTTACTCCACTGCGGTATCTCACTGTATATCGTCCGTGCAGCCCCGATAACTAGCACTACGACATTGACAGAAATGATCGTCAATGGCATAATGAACAAGCTTGTTAATTTGACCACATACAGGTCGGCATATATGTCATCTACATCTTCGTTTGCCGATTTGGCTTTAAGAGTGAAAGAGATCTCAATCCATGCAATAACTTTCAGTAGGTCCTGAAGCACCACCGCAAGGTGAGCTGATGTTCCTCCTATGACCCAGAACTGCTCGTTTCTCCATAGCTCTTCGAGTGCAATCCCAGACCATTTCACTTCTAAGAGGGAAATAAGCGCGAGAGTGATAGTGATAGTGAGTAGGAAGACAAGGAATGTTACGTTGAGGCCAGGAACAATGAATTGATCAGACAAAAAGAGGCATAGAGTGGGTAGAAAGCAGTAGACGGTGAGTAGGATTGACGTGAAAGGATAAATGCCAACATTGAGGTAAGCGATGCGTTGGAGGAATTTGAGGCGCCTGGTGGCTAGAAAGGCATTGGCCCAGCAGAGGACCTGGTGGAGGCGGTCGGTCATGTTGATAGGAGTTGAGCCGCAGAAGGCGTCGCATTTTGTTACACAATAGACGAAGCGCCATCCATGGTTGTGCATCCGGTAGCAATTCATAGAAGCATATTCTGATTCGAATCGGAAGATTTTTTTTAAAAACATACAAATAAGAATGTCTCAGTATGTCCGTCATGCAATTTGTTGTAAGTGTTATGTTACAAGTCTTTCATGTCATGTAATAAGGATATATTTGTCATTTGTTTTATTTGTTGATGAGGGTCTTTCTTTAACGTTTTTACTTTTGTTATGAATAATAAACTCTAAAATAGTGAAAGAGGAATTTTCTTGCAGGATTTCATTCATTTCTAGCCCTCCCAACAACAAATGACGTGGTAATTTGTAAAAGAAGAATTTTTCAAAACAGACCCACTTCAATTTTTTTTCTTAAAACCGACCCGTTTTTTTTTTATTTATCAAAACCGACCCGATTTTGTAATTAGCAGCTTAATCACCTTCCTAAACAGTCGGGGTTGGCAACCCCGACTATTTAGGACCTTAATTTTTAGGGTTTAAGGCTTCTAATTAGGGTTTAACACCTTCCTAAATAGTCGGGGTTGCCAACCCCGACTGTTTAGGATAGTGATTAAGCTGCTAATTACAAAATCGGGTCGGTTTTGATAAATAAAAAAAAAAACGGGTCGGTTTTAAGAAAAAAAAATTGAAATGGGTCTGTTTTGAAAAATTCTTCTATTAGATATAAGGTTGCAATGTGACCTCACCAGCATGAGATGACCGAGACAGCCTCGGCAACAGTGGGTGCATCGAGCGGTGGCCTAGGTGCAAGCAGTGAACTAGGTGGTCGACCATGATTCACCGAAGGATGATCAGCCAGGGGCCGCCCCTGGAACTCGGCAACTGGTATTGAATTCAGAAACATGGACGAATTCCCAAACTTCATCGGAGTGATAAGATCTGGGTGCACATCCCGCTCATTGGCCTCACTGCCATCTTCTTCACTGTCCTCCCCGTTTACTGGTGCCAACACCGGGATCGGTTGACCTAGCACCTTGATTTGCCCGATGGCACCGTAATAATCATTTGCACGCGGCGGATTGAAATCATACAAGGCATATCGACGAAACAAACATCCTGTACCCACATACATCGGACCTTGCAGGCCATTGAGTGCACGCATATTGCCATCAAAGAACACAGTATTGTGATTCACATAGCGGTCTGAAGGATCAATCCCTTCAAACCTCTGAGGAAACTATACATAGCAAATTCGATCCCCACCTCTGTCCAACATAAAACACATCCCCTCCCGAATTGCCATACAATTATTAATATAGTGATCACTAGTAGAAAAACAACCAATCTAGACGGAACAATCTAGACGGAAAAAATTTCCGTCTAGATTGAATCAAACTAGACGGAAATTTTTCGTCTAGGTTGATCCGTCTAGTTTGGATCAAAGTAGACGGAAAATTCCGTCTAGTTTGCCAAACGAGACGGAAAGGTCAACCTAGACGGAATTCCGTCTAGGTTGACTGGCAACCTAGACGGAAATTCCGTCTAGGTTGAGGGGCAACCTAGACGGAATTTCCGTCTAGGTTGACCATGCAACCTAGACGGAATTTCCGTCTAGGTTGAAGTAACCTAGACGGAAATTCCATCTAGGTTGCATGGTCAACCTAGACGGAAATTCCGTCTAGGTTGCCTCGTCTAGGTTGACAGGCAACCGTCTAGGTTGCCAGTCAACCTAGACGGAATTCCGTCTAGATTGACCTTTCCGTCTCGTTTGGAAAACTAGACGGAATTTTCCATCTAGTTTGATCCAAACTAGACGGATCAACCTAGACGAAAAATTTTCGTCTAGTTTGATTCAACCTAGATGGAAATTTTTTCCGTCTAGATTGTTCCGTCTAGATTGGTCGTTTTTCTACTAGTGTTTAGCATGCCATGATTTGATTTTCTCTCATATAACCCTGGGGGTGGGTTTTGTTTGGGTCGATGGTGTTGAAATTTGAGCCCCCCTTCCCCCCTCCCCTCCCCTCTCTCGGCAGCCCCTTCCCCATCGGCGTGTTCGTTCTTTCATCTGCCTAAAATGTATGTTTTTTCTACCGAGCTTTAGAATTTTTAAATTTTTATTATTTATTATTGAATTTAGTTTAAAAACCCTAATTTATGATAAAAAAATAAACGGGTTCATTTCTGAAAACCCTAACTTAACTACATGTTAATTCATTTGAACAACACCAGTAATCATATTTTTTTTAAACACTTATAAACCCTAACTCATTTAAGTTTCATTCGTGCTATAAGTATGTGTGATTATTTAAGTTTGTGATGTGAAAAGATGTGAAATAAATTTTTTAAAAAATAGAGTGATATATAACACATTATAAATTTTTATAATGTGTTATAATCCAATTTAGGTGAATAAAAAAATAACGTTATCCCTAGACTTCCGTCCAATAATTACATCCAATTATTTGGACTTATAATATATGATATACGACTCAGATTTGGGTAGGAGACGAAGTTTTCTCCCAAAAATGAGCGTTTATTTTATATTATAGGAATAAAAAATTAGTACTAAAATTCGTAATTATTGGATCTGTCCTTCTTGGACGGGTTAGGAATATAGTTGTGCATACATCCAACTTTGTATACTTTTTATATTTTCATTCTTGAAAGTTTTGGCAGCACCTATTCGTTGTTCTCCGTGTACAATAAGCGTATGTTGTTCTGCGTTTTGGGTTAGATCTGTCCTTCTCGGACGGGTTAGGAATATAGTAGTGCATACATCCAACTTTGTATACTTTGTATATTTTCATTCTTGAAAGTTTTGGCAGCACCTATTCGTTGTTCTCCGTGTACAATAAGCGTATGTTGTTCTGCGTTTCGGGTTATTACTGATACGTATAATAACATCCGCACAGTGTACAGGGAGAACAGCGGGTAGGTGCTGCCGAAATTTTTAATAAATGAAAATATACAAAGTATATGAAGTTGGATGTAAGCACTACTATATTCTTAATGGATAGAAGCCTTCCTATGACAGACGTAAGATTAGTGTAATTAGTTTCTACGTACGTTATATATATATTTTATGTAGATAAATATTCATATTGTTAAATGATATATGAACGTATGTTTGATGTGTGTTGAATGTATAAGAGTAATGGATGTATTAGTAGTTGTGAGACTAATCATATTTAATAATTATATATAATTTACAGATGATGATAATTCCTGACAAATCATGGATAGATATCCCTAGGCATCGTAGATTTCATGACACACGATACAAGGAGGGATGTGAAGCCTTCATGCGTTATGCGGAAATGAATCCGAGAAATTTAAGAAGCGGTGCTATGTATTGTCCTTGTTGTAGGTGTAGGAATTTGAAGCTGCTGAATAGAAATGATATACGGATTCACCTAATAAAATCAGGTTTTGATGAGAAATATAAATACTGGAACTGGCATGGGGAGGGTATCACTGAAGATGAGGATCCAAATATGCATGTTGGTACGTCCGGTGGCCAACGAATAGATGACACAGAAACATTGTTGAATGATATTTTTCCTCGACCTACAGAATATGATGTTGATGATAATGTCGAGGATGATATTGGAGACAAAAGTGAAGATGATAACGAAGTTGAAGTTGAAGAGGTAGGAGGTGTCGCGAGTGTCGAAAATATTGATGATATGCATTCCTCCGCAGAAATAAAGCGAATAATGGAGCTACTAGAAGATAGTGAAAAGGACTTATATGAGGGATGTACCGAGTACTCCAGATTTTCATTTATGCTGAAACTCCTTCATATTAAGACACTTAGCGGTATGTCAGATAATTATTTTGAAATGATTCTTGATTTGCTTCGGACTGTAATCCCTGGAGGAGAGAATAGCATACCCCAAACAACTTATCAAGCTGAGAAGATTGTCTCTGCTCTGGGTCTTGATTAT